TATAAGACTCTTGGTGAATGTTCTCTTGCATAAAAAACCTTTCAATCTAGCTCACTCAGACAATATTTTGCAACTAATAAGATAGTTTTCTGATGGACGGGGTCCATCTTTTGCAGGTATTACTATACTGGTGAGGATTTTTAGTATTCCGAAAGCATTTTGTAAGATCTGTTACTTGTAAAAAGTCAAGTGATCTAGAGGACAAAGCCACTTGCAAAATTGGTAATTAAATAATGAAAGCAATATTTAAGATCTCCAGTTTCTTCCATTTTCTACTTGTTTTAACACGGCTGTCATCACACCGAGAATATCTCCAAATCATTTTTGTTATCTTCTCCTCAACCAACACTTGAAATTCCTAACTGGAAACAACTCTCTTGCTCAAATCAATTCATATCAACTATAGGCTCCTTCTGCAGTCATTCTAATAAAAAGAAATATGTCTACAACATGGAATGCCTTTTTCCTTTTGGCCTCAAAAGTATGTCTACGACATGGAACACACTAGAGAAACTAATCAGGTACTTCAATTGCCTTTTTTTTGCTCTAAACTTCATATCAGCGCGCTCTAAACTTCATATCAGCGCACTCTAAACAAAAGAGACCTGCGTGTAACTCAAACTGCTTAATATAAAGTTAGAAACTCAAACTTTGCACCCGGTAAGCATGATTTGCACTCTTATAAATGGTTCAAATTCTAGCCAGCAAGATCAAGATGATAAACGTAATTGCAGCTTTTGTTTTCACCTTACATTTGGGGAATTTTATCAAATAGCAAATAATTCCCAAAGAACATGGACAGCGGATAACCATTTCTCTGCCACAGATATTTACTTTTCATGTTATCAGTCAACTATTACATTCTCCATTTCATGAAAGGAAATTCCCCAAAGAATAACTAAAAGTTCACATTATCTCTCCCCCAATTCCATACATTAATACATATCATGCTTTTGTTTCTTGCACCTATAGAACCAGGAAGCCATCTATAGGTAAAAACTACAAATAACAACAGTAATGCCACTAATTTTTTAAAAATGTTGCCAAAGGCCGTCACTATCTCAGATATCTGACAAATTTCACAATGAATAGTAATGAGAAAATTCAAACTAGCTGCAAACAAATTCTCACCCTATTCCAACATTTCCACACAAACATGAACAAATTTACTTTGAATTCATTATTCTCACAATAAGAATATAAATGTGTTAAAAAAGAAAAAAGAAAAAAGAAGAGAAACTTTACATACCTTTTCAAGAAAAGAATTGACCTAAAAGGCTAAAACCCTTTAGGCCCTGCTTCCTTTAAAACCACAGGCATCTCAGCCATGGATAAACAGTTCTTCGCAATTTCTCTGAACTTGGGCACACTCCTAAGATCAACCTTAGTTCCATCCTTCAATGTAATGACAATATCACCCCACTCACCGACAAATTGTGGCACCATTTGCACGTCCTTGATGACATTGTAAGAGAAATCGCTCCGGTCCTGATTCGTCAGGCTGGAGATAACCAAGGTTTGTGAACCTGTATCTCAAGTAAAAAGCCCTTGACACAGCGGCCTGAGTTAACGGCAGCCGAAGGAGACTGAAACCAGACATAGGTTTGCAATGAGGTCGCCATAGTGGGCTCCGCCGTCGAAGAAGATGGTTTCTTCCTTGGAGTTGCAGCCGTGAAGAGGGGTTTGTTGGTGGGAGAGGACACGTGGAGTCTTGTGGTTGGTGGTCTGCTGTTTTTGGAAATTGGTCTATGGGGGGAGGTTAGGGAA